GAACTCTTCTTAATCTAGGGAACATATTTTGGATGTGCAAAATTTGACTATTAGTTTAAAACCCAGTAACATGAAGATCTTTAATACATCTGCATGTCAAACTCTTAAAACTCAGCAAAAGCATAGAAAAAAATAGACTGTCAAGATCAAAAAATTTGAAATCAAAATTTGTTTCTTATGCAACACCAGCATTCTTGCCATCTTATTCTCAAGTTTCTTCATGTAGCATTCGACCTCTTTTCCTTCTAATATGTACCTGTTTCAATTACACCAACGCAAAGATGAGCCTTAACCTGAGAAAACACTAATTAAGATGTGACGATATCAGTCCAAATTATACCCATCAGCGCGGCCACATTGTCCAGGTCTTGATGCGATACATGCAAGCAACCTTCCACTGCTAAAATGTTCTTCAAGGTGAGGGTCAAGTGCCCGGCCTTGTTGACGCTTCTCCCGCTTCCTTTGACCATGATTGCTTTTCTTAAATTCCTTGATGGTTACTGCCTCTGCTTCCTGAGATTACAGATACCAATCAATCAAAATTGGTTTTGGAAAAGAACAGCAAAATTGAGAGATCTTCATCAAGAACCAAACATCTCCTTCTTTCTTGATTGCAGCCGGTTTCTTCTTGCGATGGAGCAGCATCAACTTGAGCAATTGCACTCTTCACAAGAGTTTGCGTTCGTACAAGCTCATTGTTTGATGCATTATAATTTATACGCCACATCCAAGATCCTGGTCTTGCGGATCACAGCTTCGGTTACCCGTGAGTAGTTTCCTGTATCGAGCCTCAAAAAAGCTCGCCATTTCACGTTCCCACCACGCACACGGATCCTCCTCACCGTCTTGTTGCTTAATAGCTTCGTGTTAGCTGGTTGCCTTCCAAGCACATACCTTTACACAGATAGCCAAGTTAGTTTATGTGATCAATCTGCTTCAAACAGAAGTTAATCTGTTTCTCTGTAATAATTTTGGAGAGTCAACCTAAAATCAAAGAACACAACAAAGCTCATGGTTCATTCTGATTCCAAATCTAACCTCTATTTTCAGTGAAACAGGGAAATACAAAAGCTTACTTTTTTTTCTTCCTCCACTTCTTCTGCTTGCCACCAGTGGCTCGTCTCTTGTGAATTGAATCACGAGAGATACCTGCAAACGCAGAATCAACAATTCGTCAATACATCTCCATGGAAGAAGAAAATTTCGACATTTCTGCTAGAAGAAGATGAATCTTAGAAGCATCCATTGTTGCAAAAGATCTGGTTCACTTTCTTCGGTTCCGCGAGCTTCAGAGGTTTAAGAATGGCGGAGAAGACCCTAATCTATATAATTACAGTTTTATCCTTACTTTGTAATTGGAAACAGACGTTATACAAATACAAACCACACAATATAAAATTACTTTTTGTTTTTTTAATATAAAAATTTAAGAATCAGATTTACGAGATAAGGGACCAAAATTAGCGGGAGAATCCAATCATCCTCAGTTGTCTCACTCCGATCATGGCTTTCACTGTCTCCGTTCAGTCACATTTCGCCATCAAATCATTACAACGAAGCCAGCTCAAGAACCCTAGTCCTCGTTCCTTCTTCTCCTCGTGTTTTAAATCCAGGCCTGGCTCATCATCATCATCTTACCTCCGTTCCAATGAACTTACTTTATTGGCTCCCAAATCGGGTTTAGCCACTAGATACAGACACAAATTCCAGGTGAGAAAGCAAGTTTCTGGGTTTCGATTGCTTCCGGTTTCTAAATCATTGTTTGATTTTTCCGGTTTTGGTTCATGGGCTAGGTCGGAGTTGGGACGGGAGGAGAGTTCGCCGACGGTGGAGACGTAGCCGATTCCATTGCTTCCGATGCACCGGAATCATTTTCCTGGTCTTCTGTGATCCTCCCGTGAGTATTGATCCGTCTAGTTGTTTCAATTCAGAGTGTTGATTGTTCTAGATTTGTCAAATCCTGAGTTATATGTTTGGCTTGCCTGTGTGATGATCATGCCTAATAATTTCTTACTTAAGTCTTAATCTGTTAACAGTGCCTTATGTATTAACAAAATGTGTTATTTGGCTAATTGACACTTACATTGCACCCATTTAACAGTCATTTGCTCATATCTCAGGTTTGTATTCCCGGCTTTGGGAGGGCTACTGTTCGGGTATGATATTGGGGCAACCTCCGGTGCTACACTCTCACTTCAGGTTTTACTTGAATTCTCTACTTTGATTTGTTAGCTACTAGCTTCAATACCTAACATCATTTGGTGTTCAACAGTCACCTGCACTCAGTGGAACTACATGGTTTAACTTGTCACCGGTTCAGCTAGGACTTGTGGTATGGTATCGTATCTAGTAAATGATTTTCCATATTTAAGCCATAAAGTTAGCAGAAAATGATAGTCTTTACTGCATTTGATTGTTGTAGGTTAGCGGATCCTTGTATGGAGCCCTTCTTGGTTCAACTCTTGTCTATGGGATTGCTGATTTCCTTGGTAAGTCTTGTTTTTCAAATTTATTTCTCTTTCTTCTTATCTGGTTGCAAGTATCTCATTCTGGTTTTTTCTTCCCATTTGTTATGAAGGAAGAAGGCGGGAACTTATTATAGCTGCTGTGCTCTATCTCCTCGGGTCTCTGATTACTGGATGTGCTCCTGATCTTAATGTTCTCTTAGTTGGAAGGCTTCTCTATGGGTTGGGTATCGGTTTGGTAAGCTCTAGAAACCCTGAGTATTTATCATTTCGTTGTCACTTTCATTGTTGATTGTTGTTTAGTGTTTAATGTAAATTGGTTTTGCTTCATAGGCAATGCACGGGGCTCCCCTCTATATTGCGGAGACATGCCCATCTCAAATCCGTGGAACTCTAATATCTCTGAAGGAACTCTTCATCGTATTGGGAATTCTGGTAAATGTCAGATCTTTTCCCTGTATGCTTTCTATGTATTCATTTACTGAGTAATCTCGATTTCCTTCTTGCGCAGTTGGGTTTTTCTGTAGGGAGCTTCCAGATTGATGTCGTTGGAGGGTGGCGATACATGTATGGATTTGGTACGCCTGTTGCTTTGCTAATGGGACTAGGCATGTGGAGCCTCCCTGCATCTCCTCGTTGGTTGCTTCTTAGAGCTGTCCAAGGTAAAGGCCCTTTACAGGAATACAAAGAGAAGGCCATGCTTGCCCTCAGCAAATTACGTGGGAGACCTCCAGGTGATAAAATATCGGAGAAGTTAGTAGAAGATGCTTTATTATCTGTGAAAACGGCCTATGAAGATGAGAAATCTGGGGGAAACTTCCTGGAAGTATTCCAAGGGCCTAATTTGAAAGCTTTGACTATTGGTGGAGGTCTAGTCCTTTTCCAGCAGGTGAGTCTTCTTTGTTGTCGGCCTTTGGATGAATGTGGAAGTACCTTTCTAAATTTAAATTTATATTCTGTATAATCGTGACAGATAACTGGACAGCCAAGTGTTCTTTATTATGCTGGTTCGATTCTTCAGGTATGCTTGCCTTAACCTTAAAATGAATGAGATTACCTACTGATCTTTTAGTGCCTTAGTTGGATATTTCATGAGACTTTATGCTTTCTTTATTCAAAGACTGCTGGATTCTCTGCTGCTGCTGATGCAACCCGAGTCTCTGTTATTATTGGTGTTTTCAAGGTGCTCATTTTTTTTTGTTTTTTCTGTGTAAATATTTTTATTTGCTAACATGCTTCCAGTTATTCACTACGACCTCTTTAATCAATAACGCCCTCGCAGTTACTGATGACATGGGTAGCTGTTGCGAAAGTTGATGATCTCGGCAGAAGACCCTTACTGATTGGCGGTGTCAGTGGCATTGTATGAATAACTCTTTGTGCTAGAGTTTCTGGAAATTTTCATATTGATATATTTCGGAGGCCTTCTATTAAAAAAATAAGATTTTCATTTGTATCTTCCAAATTCCAGGCGTTATCTTTATTTCTACTGTCAGCATACTACAAATTTCTCGGTAGCTTTCCCCTTGTTGCCGTTGGTGCACTGCTTCTCTATGTTGGTTGTTACCAGGTTTGTACTCTAGCTCTCTATGTTGGTTGTTACCAGGTCTGTACTCTAGCTCTCTCGTACTGTGTCTACATAGTTTTGTCTAGAATAAAGAATTGAAGTAGCACATTTCAGAAAACTGGAAACTTAGACTATAGCCAAAATCTCAGCTTAGTTCACTCAACACTCTTATTTTCCTGAATTGTCTCTTCTTTCGAACCAGATCTCATTCGGACCCATCAGCTGGCTAATGGTGTCAGAGATTTTCCCACTTCGCACAAGAGGGAGAGGGATCAGTCTTGCTGTCCTTACAAACTTTGGCTCCAATGCTATTGTGACCTTTGCATTTTCACCCTTAAAGGTAGCTTTTCTGTTCCTGCTGGTTGAAATTCCCTTGAAGTTATTATTAGTAAGTCCCATCAACACATGCATTATCTGCAGGAATATCTGGGAGCCGAGAATCTTTTCCTTCTCTTTGGGGCCATAGCGTTGGTATCGCTATTGTTTGTAGTTCTAATAGTTCCAGAGACCAAGGGTCTCAGCTTGGAAGAAATTGAATCAAAAATCTTGAAGTGAAATGTTGAAAAACATATTATTGTGAATTCTGGTGATATAAATGTTTATGGTTTTAGCTATACTCGTTGTAACATAATAAGTTTCATACTCTCCGGGGAAAATAAACCTTGTCATGGATATTTGAGCATTAAGTTGGATAACTTTGGTTTGGGATGGAAACAGAAGACACTGGGATGTAAGCATTAAGGTTTTCCCAAGCTTAAGTCGGTACT